AAGTACCAGACTTTTAGAACGCGTGCCAAGAAAGAGTAAAAAAGTTAGAGACCACTCATCCCTAATACCATTCAGCAATGAATGACCTACTTGGACTTCTCAGTGCCTTTCAAAGTTTTCACACCGCTTTCTGTCCTGCCATTTACCTGCAAGAGAAACAAAACACACAGCAACAGCCTGAGTGGCAGCGGGGGGGGGGGGGGGGGCAACAAAGGGGGGGGGGGGATCAAAAAGCCAAGCCAGATTTCAGCAGCACAGCAGGAACCGTGCAGTCCACGACCCAGAGTTCCACATGAACAGCAGAATCGAGGAAGCTCGCTTTCTGCAGAGCTCTGCCTGGAGGTTCAGCTCCCATGCACATATTACTGATGCCTAACAAAAGTGCAATTCTCACTGGTTGTTCCCTCAGTGTGAATGCTAGAAAGGCCTTACCCTTTTTGGCACAAAAAGTTGTTTCAAAGAAACAAAAGAAACCACCCAAAACCTTTCATATAATGTTTTTAAAACCTCTACCCCTGTCAAATTAGGCTGAAATTGGTTTATCGACTTAAAGATTTTTTTTGTTGGCATGAAACACACATAAGCTTTACCATGTAAGCAGTATTTCTTAGGGAACCACAGTGAAAACCAAGTGGTCTACATGAGGTATTTGGGCACCTCAACCACACAAACCTTGGTGCATCAACACTTACTACAGGCACTCATACTCCAAATTTTATAGGAGAGCAACGATATTAGTGACCAAACATCAATGACCTTAATTTCTATGAATCCAAGATGTTTATTGGATAATAAATATTTCCAAAGGGCATTAGAAACAAGCTTGTGAAACAGCCGCACAGCTGTGAAACAACACTACACTAAGGTACAGTTGCGCAGTCATACAGGAACTAAAAACTTGGACTTCAGTAGATATCTGAATCCCCAGTATATGAATGTGACATGTATCCTGCCATAATCAAAAGCTGCACAGTATTAAACTTGATTTTCCTCCTGCAACCACATGCAGAAGCATGGATTCATCAAGATGGGTACTCTTCACAATTTATTTGAACACAAGCGACCCTAACCGCTTTGAGGGTGAGCACAGTAAAGGTGTAAGACTAGGAGCCGGAACTGCAGGGTTCCGTGCCCAGATCCACTACACACTTCCCGGGTGATATAAGTAACTTGCAGAGGTCCTAGGTATTGCAGTCAGTTCATAAAAAGTGAATAACATATGTCCCTCCTACCTTTTATAGATTCTGGCAAGGCCTTATTCATTACTGTTGGCTAAAAGAAAAAAAAGACAGTACCTCGGATATGAGGTTCTGTGAAGAGGCGCATTAAGCACGTTGCAGGATGAATGATAAATCCAGTTAAAGCATTCCTGATTCCTATTTGAGGTGGAAAAAAAACCCTGTTCGTCTATCTTCCTATCATCTCTTGTCACCTGGCATTCATTGGCACTCTAAACACTCTTTATTTTTAAGAAAAGTTGTAACAAAGCCACTGTTGTATTTGAAGGGCAATGTGTATACCAGGAAAATCTAAGCTTTTTGCTAGAGAAAAAAGCCCACACGTGCTTTTCATTCTCTTTGATTTCCCCTCCTCCGCCCTCAAATTTCACTGGCAGGTAAAAAAAAAAAAAAACACAACCACAAAAATGCATTTGGTCAATCAGTAAGTTTTCAAAAGTGTCTTTAAATAGGTCTGATACAATTAAAACAAGAGTTGATTAAAACACGAGGTGTTTAAAGGTGCACTCAGTGTGTATTGTATCATGGCTTATGCGCTACAATATTGCAATATTTGCCAGTCTCGCTTGCATCAAGTATTGCAGTTCTAAAAAGTGAGCAGAAGTTACCACTGCCAAGGAGTCTCTCAGCGGTCTATCAGATTTACACATACAGGCATAGGAAAGTAAAGTTAAAAAAAAAAAACACCAACAACAAACCACTCCGTTTAAAGGTATGGATCTTTATATAATACCAAATTGTGTAAAAACACTTTGGACTCCAAAAGAATCACAGTCTCATCGTGTATGCAAGTCAAACTGCATATTCAGTTTCCTCCTACTAACTGCAAACCCCGTATTTAATTGTTTTTCCAAGAGCTCTGTAAAGTTCCTTCTAAGAACATTTAAAAGCATCTTTTTTATGGAAACAGTAAGCTAAAATGCCAAATATGTCTCATAAGCTTAAGTTCCCTATAGAAAAACTTGTGTGCAGCTGAACACTGGCAAACTGGCCAAACAGAGCCTTCATGCTATGTATTTTACATTTGACACAGAAGAGAATGTAAGCTTTTTAAAATCAAAAAATAAGCTTGGGACAAAGAGCACACAGCTAATGATGCTGGCACAAGGAGCACCACACTCCAGCTCAGGACACATGTTGTAAGCATAGGGTACACATAAAAAACAAAAGCCTTTAAAGCTTTTTTATAACTCAGAGTAAATATGATGGGAATCACAAGTGTTTATAAAGAGTAAACAGATTCCGACTATTCATTGTTCTTTCAAAAAAAAAAAAAGAACAAAGGAACATCACATTAAACCAGAAAGAGGGAGGTTCAGAACAAATAAAAGGTAGCATTGCTTCTCAGGGTTTGAGGTTAAGCTAGGAATTCCTCAGTACAGGATATTACAAATACTGAAAGTTTATAGGACTCGAGAAGAGAACCATTAACCTTATGAAAGAGAGCTCTGTAGCGGCTGCTAAATGAGACAATACCTGTGAGTCCTGAAACCCCCCAGCACTCAGAATATTTTAGGTCACTACCTTGCTCTACTCTTCCTGAGACAAAAATTTGGCAGCTTTTAGGGAGTAGATCAAACACAACTACTTTTACTGTATCCCTGTAAAGGAAAATCCACTCTCAGCACTGAAACAAGAGACCTTTAGAAAAGGCTAATTCATCATATGCCAACCTTTTATTATATCCGCCGGGAGCAGAGGTTGCCTTAAGTTTGTCACAGTACTCCTAGTGTGGATTAGCATCAGCCTGACTTTAGAAGAGCCCAGCCCAACCCTTCGGACACTGCGGAAGAGGGAAGAGGAGGACCTGCCCACGGGGCCGTTCCCGCTTCCCACGCATCCCTGAGCGAGAAATGGGACCAGAGAAAAGCTTGTTCCAAAACACCCCCCTTCCCCCACGCCTCCAGCATCTCCCGGCCCCTGATAAACACATTCACCTCCACAAACACCGCTGAGTGCAGAAGCTGGGACTTGCATCCCACCTCCCACAACCTCTAGAAACTAAGAAAACAACACGCCCCACAGCTGGGGGGTTCATTACCCCGCTACTCCCAAGCTCGCCCTTCCCTCCTCCGGAACCGGCTGCTTCCCCAGAGGGGCAGGTGCCGAGGATCCGCGGGAAGCGCGCGAACAGCCTCCCCCGGGAAGGAAACCGCGACCGTCGCAGCTCCCAGGCCAGGAGAGGCCGGCGCTGGCCCCGGGCCGCCGCCCC